AACCAGCCAGCTGGTGTATGCATGATCAAAAGTAGTGTTATCTTGTTTCTTTCACAGCCTTAAGCATAAGAAAACAGTTCTGCATAGTTTGCCACTCTTTATGGTTTATAAATTCATAAAGATTACCAGAGTCGTTGATACAAGTAGTACTCAAAGATTTTGGATTCGAGTTTTGTGGACGATGAAAATATAGTTGAAACGGGAGATCTTGTTAAAGATGATTAGTCAAATTCTATATAATGATAGGTGAATACTTTGTATTGAATAATATGGTTAAAAAAAATATAGACTTGGGTTACACAAGGAACTTATCTGTTATAAAAACTAGACTCTGCATCATACATATGAAACTTATGGAAGTACAATTATGGATTGGAAGAGGAAAACCGTGAGCTTTGAAGAGAATGGTCGTGTTATTCAAAAAGATTAAGGGACTGCCACCACAACGAGTTTATGATCATGCTATCAGATTGAGGCCTCATTCGAAGCCTGTCAGGGTTCGACCTTAGCGCTGTTCAACATTGGAAACATTATCTCTTAGGCAGAAGTTTCAAGGTTGTTGAGAATATGAATCATCATCAATTATTTGAGTTTATTTCATATTAATAGAGCATTCTTAGAATTCCAACAGTTATGAATTTTTAATTATAGGAATTATAGGTGTTGTTACACTTTTATGAGTATTTATATTTATCATTTAATTTTATGTTTATGAGCAGAATTTGTATCAGTGTATTTTATGTATTTAAAAGGTTGCAAGTATGAATAAAATATATAAGTTTCAGACTTCTAATTTTTCTAAATTCCAACAATTGGTATCAAGAGCTTATTTTGTTCTTGAGGGACTTGGTAAGGTTGAGAGTTCCACTAAACACTTAAACCCTTATATTGAGAATTGAAAATGCAATCTGATTATTCAGTCCAAACACTACCAGCATTTGATGGTGAGAACTATCACCTATGGGCAGTCAGAATGGAGACTTTTCTTGATGCAAATGATCTTTGGGAAGCCGTTGAGGAGGATTATGAGGTTGGTCAATTACCAGAAAATCCAACACTTAATCAAATCAAGTATCATAAGGAAAGAAAGCAGTGAAAAGCAAAGGCAAAGTCTTGTCTATTTTTTGCTGTTTCTCAATCAATCTTCACTAGAATTGTGACTCTAGAGTCAGCAAAGGCTATCTGGGATTTTCTCAAACAAGAGTATGAAGGAAATGAGAGAGTCAAAGGGATGCAAGTGTTGAATTTGATAAGGGAGTTTGAGATGCAACAGATGAAGGAGTCAGAAAGGGTGAAATAATATTCTAACAGACTTCTAAGCATTATAAACAAGGTGAGGTTGTTTGGGATAGAATTTTCCGATACAAGGATAGTGCAGAAAATCCTTGTGACTCTTCCTGAGAGATTTGAATCCACCATTTCCTCTTTGGAAAATTCCAAGGATCTGTCAAATATCACTTTGGCAGAATTGATGTATGCTTTGCAAGCCCAAGAACAGAGGAGACTCATGAGGGAGGAAGGCGTGATTGAAGGTGCTTTATAGGCGAAAATGAAACTCAGTCATGGTTACAAAGGAAAGAAAAAGGAAGCTCAAGGGAACAACTTTGAGCAAGGAGAAAGTTCCAACAAAGGTGGTAAAGAAGATGATGAGAAACCAAATCATCCTCCTTGTCAGCACTGTGGAAAAAGAAACCATCCCCACTTCAGATGTTGGAGAAGACCCGACGTACGCTGTAACAAATGCAACCAGCTTGGTCACATTGCAAAATTTTGCAATAACAAAAGGCAATCTCAAACAGAGGCTCAAGTGGCTGACCAACAAGAGAAGGAGGAGCAGTTATTTGCAGCAACTTGTTTTGCCACCAACAACAATTGTGAGAGTTGACTGATTGACAGTGGATGCACACATCATATGACCTATGATGAAGAATTGTTCAAGGAGCTGGATAGGACAATTGTTTCAAAAGTCAGAATTGGCAATGGAGAGTGCATAACTGTTAAAGGGAAAGGCACTGTTGCAATTGAAAGTTGTTCAGGTACAAAAATAATCATTAATGTACTTTTTGTGCTTGAAATTAATCAAAACTTGTTAAGTGTTGGACAGTTGCTTGAAAAAGGTTATAAAATTTTGTTTGAAGACAAAATGTGTTTGATCAAAGATGCAAGTGGACATGATCTGTTCAAGGTCAAAATGAAGGGAAAAAGCTTCTCTTTAGATTTAATGAAGGAGAGAGATAAGAGACAGGGGAGTCATGTTGAGATTGATATTTCCTCTGAGTCCAATTCGCTTGTAGCGAAGGCAATTGTGGCTCCACCACCGCCACCACCCTTGAGTTCGGTTTCTGTTCCTAATTTGAATGTGACTCCGATTTTGGATTCAGATTTTAGTTATGGGGAAAGGAGTAAAAGGGTTTTGGATGGTGATTATTCTAGTTTGCAACCGGTTAGGGCGTCTTCAGTTATTGTGGATTTAAATAGGTCACCTTTCAAGGGGAATGGTAGTTCTATTTCAAGGAAGGAGGTGAGTGTGCAGAAGACTATTGATGGTAGTTCTTCCCGACCTTCTGCCAGGGAGGTTGATGATTCTCGCGGGAAAAATAAGGTGTTGAATTTAGTTAAAGCTGGCAATGTTTCTTCAGGAAAATCGGCCCCGAGGGTTGTCAAGAAGAAAATTGTTAAGAGAATTATGAAGAAAGGAATTGCAATTTCTAAAAATTCAGTTTTTCATGGGAAGACTAAACATTTCAATGTTAAGTTGTATTCTATTAGAGATTTAAAAAAAAAAGGCAATGTTGTGTTAGTATATTGCAAGACAGAATCAAATGGAAGACATCTTCACAAAGGCACTTCCAAGAGGAAAGTTTGAGAACTTGAGAGGGAAACTTGGAGTCAATAGCTATTGATTCAAGGAGGAGTGTTGAGAATATGAATCAACATCAATTATTTGAGTTTATTTCATATAAATGGAGCATTATTAGAATTCCTACGGTTATGAATTTTTAATTATAGGAATTATAGGTGTTGTTACACTTTTATGAGTATTTACATTTGTCATTTAATTTTATGTTTATGAGCAAAATTTGTATCAGTGTATTTTATGTATTTAAAAGATTGCAAGTATGAATAATATATATAAGTTTCAGCCTTCTAATTTTTCTTAATTCCAACAAAGGTGTACACTAACCACATGAGCCTTAAACATTTGTTGCACCAGAGAATCACTACAACATATCAACAAGGCAAAATTCAGTGACTCGAAGGATCAATCCTAAGCTGTCCCCGTGGTATTTTAGACCATTCCAAATTGTCTCTCGCATTGGTGAGGTTTCTTATAAACTTCAGCTTATTGTTTCTGCATGCATTCACCCGGTGTTCCCCGTGTCCTAGCTTATACGGTCCTTGGAAAGTAGTTCAATGGTAGGTAGTTTGCCTCCTGGAATGGAAGTTGATGACCTTGAATCACATAGGCAGTTATGTGTTAAACCCAATTTTGGAACAGACCGATCTAGTTTCAGAACGGGCCGTTCCAAGATACGAAATTAACACATGACGTACAGATCCAAAACGGGCCGTTCCGAATCTGGAATAGGCCGTTCTGGAAACTTTTTGATGTCTATAAATAGCATACTCGGGCACAATTCTCAAGGCGGCCGGGAAATTTCGGATAAGACTCCTTTAAGCACGAAAATTCTCTATCTCTCTCCCTCCTATTGTATTTCTTTCTTGAGATTGGTGAGACATATTGTAGTGTGAAAGGTTGTCGCAAAGCACCTAAAGATCTCCATATTTGAAGATTCAATAGAGCTCGTTTAAGTGGTATTTCAGTCGATTCTCTCTTCCTTTCTCTATTCCCTTATTTCAAATATTGTTATAATAAAAACAATCATGTAGAAGTTTTAGGATTAACCATGTAATTTAAATTTCAAGCATGTAAATAGCAATTCATAAAGGAGATTAAATATTTAAATTATTAATTCTTACTATGCTAACTTCATCATAAGGGTACCGACTAAGGGCGTTGTAAGGGTGCTTAATACATTCCTTATACATAATCGACCCCAAACCCAATTTTGGTTATCAAGGCCATTATTGGATCTTTAAAAACCTTTTCTTTTTCTAATGTTTGGAGTAAAACATTGGTGGCGACTCCATGAACCTATTTTCAAAATCATTAATTAAGGATTAGTCTGGTGTCCGGACATTCCTTAATTGATGAGATTTTCAAAATGATGTCTAAACCATTAGTTGCGAGATCAGAAATTTTCGGGTTGCAACAGTTGACAACTCCATCAGGGAAGTTTAAAGAGGGTCAGACTCATATAAATGATGAAGTTAATAAAATAAGAATAATAATTTAAATATTTTTTCCTTTTACTTTGTTTGTTTTATTTGTTTGACTTTAATATTTGTTTGTCTGTTTAAATTCTACACTTGTTTGAATAAAAATTGTACACAAATCTTTGCACACAACAGTTCCCCCTACACCCGGGGGCATGAGGGTATTAAACATAAGGAGTGGTTGACGCACGCCCGGCCCAAGATTGGCCTTAGAGCCTACGAGCCTTGTCGAAAATCACACTCAAGGTGATAACTGGTTACTCTTGCTCGAAATACTGTGACAAGCCTTAGAATTTGTCAGGTGACGGCGACAGAGATACTAGGTCCCTATAATGGGAGCACCTTGGGAACCTTAAGACCAAAGTGAGGATAATTAGAACCGCCCTATACAATCCACTTTTCTCCACACCGTTTCCTCTTTCTCAAACAAACACCTTTCGCTCCCAATGCAAAAATCATGACCAAATTCCCTCTCCTTTTCTGACTCCCTTTGCTACGTTTTCTCAATTCTCATTTCCCAATCGCTTCGTGCTTTGTCGCAATCTCTGTTCGATCCCTGTAATTGAGCATTTAAGCATTCACGCATATCGCCAATTTCATTTCAAACGTGTTATCTCGGTTGGTTGGATTGTTTGGGTTTTGTGCCAGTGTTGTTTCGAATGTCTGCTCTTTTTCTCCAACTGGGTCCAACATGTCTAGTTTCGTGGACGTTCTTGTTTCCGATCAATGGCTTCAGAGCCAGTTCACTCAAGTCGAGCTTCGGACCCTCAAATCCAAGGTATGTTTCTTGCTTTCTCTTGTTTTGAGTTCAAACCCAATTTTGGACTCTAAACGCGCGTCTGTGTTACGTTGTTTGTAGTATGTGTCGGAAAGGACCCAATCGGGACGTGTTACTGTCAGAAATTTGCCACCTATTTTTAAGAAATTGAAGGGTTTCGCTGAATTGTTCACCAAGGATGAGATTAAAGCGGCCTTGGGAGAGTCGTATCAGAACATGGATGAAGAAATTGATTTTGAGTCCTTCCTGAGGGTGAGTTTTTTTATACCCCTGAAAAGTTAAGACATGGTTTCTGCTCTTATGTCTTTATGTAATTCTGGATTTATTTTAACCAACTTATTTCATATTTTATCATGATTGTATGTATTTACTTCCCCTTAATTTGTTTCATTTAATGTACAGAATTGGAGTATTGTGGGACGTGTATATGATGTTCTGAAGGCCACAAATGTCTGTGCCTTGTAGAATTTATGCAATGTTTAGGAAGGCCACAAATGTCTGTACCTTGTAGAATTTGCATTTTTAACTTTATGCTTGATGTCTGGGAATCAAGGCTTCCTAAATTTGTTAAATTCATTATATTGACATAAAACATGTTCTCTGGCATTTTGCATACCTGAAAATAAAACATTATTTAAATCTTCACTGGATGTTGCTATCATATGTAGATCTTAATTTGTTTGAGTCACACTTTTTGTTTTGTTACTTGCACATTTAAGGCTATCTTGAATTGGAAATGTGATTAAAATTTGAACTAGTTGAGTTGGCCTCTAGAACATTCTTCTAAAATATAAAATTGGCATGAAATTGTGGATCATTTATATGGGTTCTTGATCTTTTCTCCATCTGTTATGAATATATGCATTGACTGGTAGTTTGTAACTTATGCAGATGGAAATAGTGCCTTTCCCCTTGTTATGGTTGGTGGGGTTCTCGAAGCAAATAGGAGGAGGTGGGATATAAGAAAAGAAGTAATGAATTGCATTTCCAAATACTTTCCTGGGGTAATTCCCATTAGACCAAAGGTCAGCATTCTTTGTCATTTTATCCTGTAGGTAGTATTTTAAATTTCTATTATAGCCTCTTTTTTTTATTTTTTTATGGTTCACTTCTCTTCCTCAACTGTTGGGGACAAATATTTAAAAACAATTGCATAAAAGATCATATATCATTTCTTTGTGATTTAGATGATATTTACTGCATCTGATCACTAGTTACAAAAGAGAAAGGTCACGATTATTGTTCCCTCATAAGTGACAAAGTAAAGGGAAAACTACTTAAGGAACAAAAAAAGACCCTAATTGTGGAGGAGTCTTGGAAATAAGTATTTTGGTTAGAGATCACAGGCATCCTCTGAGAGGATCTTTTCAAGTCTAATAAGATCATTGTGGACGATAAAACTTTTCTTTCAAATATTTAATGCAATTGATTGAGATGGAGTCATGCTTGGGTATAAGTGAGTGATGATAGAATTACAATTTCTTTGTAAATTCTACTCCCTCTCCGTTTTTCTTTCATAGTCGTTTTGTCAGAGTTTGTTGTTTTTTTTTTCATTGTCATATTACTAAAATCAATGAGTTATTAATTTTTTTTCTTTCATTTTTACCCTTGATAATTAATACATGTTTCCTGAACAATGTGTGTATTTATTTTTAATGTCTACCTAATTTTTCTCTAACTACTCATATAAAGTTAATGTGCATTTATAAGAGAAATATGTTCCCAACAAAATACTATAAAAAAACAAAAAAAAGGGACAACTATTTAATGGAGTAGTTCAACAGTCTAAAAAATGAAAAAGAAAAAAGGGTAAAATAGGAAAGTAAGTAATAAATATTTTTGAAAACTAAAATATCAATGATTTCCTTAATTCCCGTGCAAAACCTTAAACGACTATGAAAAAAAACGGAGGGAGTACTAGTTAATTGTTGGACATTGTGAATTTAGAAGATATAATTTTTGGATTGTAATAATACTTTCTGTAATTTTAATTAGGGTTCTTTTAGGATCCAATTGTAAGGTATGGGGCACGAATCTCACATTGGAAGTTTGAGATTCTAGTGTGTGGTTTAATGCCTAAGGCTCTCCAATTAGCTTTTGTGATGTAGTTTTCTCACGTTTCTTATCAAAAATCAATAAGATATGAAAAATCAATTTTCAAATACTCTTTAAATATCAAAAATCATTTTTTTAACATCGTTGGTTTATTGCACAACAGGTGGAGCCTGCTGTGGGTGCAGCATGGTTAGCTTGGAATTTTTTCATGAAAGATTATCAGAAGGCCTATGCTTAGTTTCTTGATGATTAGAAGTGTAATTACTCAATGCCAAAGTGTGAAAATCATATAGTTAATGTACCACCCAAAATCTATATTGTTGTCATTATATTAGCTCATGGCACGTGGTAGGCTTAGTTTCTTCTGCCTACCATAAGTTAGTACCTATTATTGTGTAAATGAATTATAGTGGCATAAACACGAAAGAGAAATGTCTTCGTTGAAAAGCTTTACATGGTGTATATATTGGAAATTCCTTATTTATTGTATTTATACTTGTGTATATTTGGTTTATTTGATTGTTTATACTTGTGTGGTAGTTGTAAATTCCTGGCTGACAATTATATATATTGGAAAGATTAAGGAAAATCTGCTCAGAGGTTTTTTTTGGTTCCCCCATTAGAAGTTCATATTATTGTATTTATTTCATATTCTTTTTTCAGTTTGGTTACTGCTCCTAACCAGCTCCTTGGGGATTAAATATGAAATATGAAATTTTTAAAGCTATATATATGTTCATTACAGGTAATAAGAAATAATCCAAAAATAAGCATGATTTTTTTTTAAATGCAATCTACATCGGTTCTCAAGAAAATCGATGTAAATTTAAGCATAAATCTACATCGCGATAAACCTCCTATCCAACATCCTTGGGGAAATATCTACCACAAATTAAGCAAACCAATGAGGGTACCGACAATTCCCTCAAAATACAACAAAGGTCTGGAGAGACGGTACTCACATCCCAATTCGGTATACGACAAAGTCGTGAGGGAAAGGTCTGAAGAGATGGTACTCATCTCACTCCGGTATACGACAGTCGTGAGGGAAAGATCTGGAGAGACGGTAATTACATCCCAATTCGGTATACGACAAAGTCGTGAGGGAAAGGTTTAGAGAGACGGTACTCACATCCCAATCCGGTATATGACAAAGCCGTGAGGGAAAGGTTTGGAGAGACTGTACTCATATCCTAATCCGGTATATGACAAAGTCGTAAGGGAAAGGTCTGGAGAGACTGTACTCACCTCCCTATCCGGTATACGACAAAGTCATGAAGGAAAGGTCTGGAGAGAATATACTCATATCCCAATCCGGTATACGACAAAGTCGTAAGGAAAAGGTCTGGAGAGACTGTACTCACCTCCCTATCCAGTATACGACAAAGTCGTGAGGGAAAGGTTTGGAGAGACGGTACTCACCTCCCAATCTGGTATACGAAAGAGCCGTGAGGGAAAGGTCTGGAGAGACGGTACTCACCTCCCAATCTGGTATACGACAAAGCCGTGGGGCAAAGGTCTGGAGAGACGGTAGTCACCTTCCAATCCGATATACGACAAAGCCGTGAGGGAAGCTGAGCTACGAAAATACTCCCTCTTCAACAAGCTATGAATAAAAGAACGCACTATTACAAGAAAAACAATGGAGCATCTACTTGAAGACTGAAGATCAGGTGTACAGTTTGTCAACCTTGTTACTTAATAGAGTACGCAACCAACACTCAACTGCTCTAAAGGGCGAGGATATGAGCAAATACACCTATCCAAGGGAAACAAATGTAGAAGTGCTAACACCAAAGAGACGAGGAGAAGACCCGGATGAAATGTCTACGTCTTTACTTGCCTTCAAAAAAGAAACACATAGCTATTCCAAAGGACAAGTAAAGAGGGGCAGTTGTAGACACCCAATTTCGTCCAGGGGCATACAAACAATGAAATGGACGTCTATTATCAAGGAAAGGAGCTCCTGAAGCATGGAAACAATAGGACATGACATCATAAGGCCTAAAGCCCAAATAAGCTGGTTTTAGTAGCCCGGAACGGGCTGTTCCAAAATTGGAATGGGTCATTTTCAAGTTGGAACGGGCCGTTCCAAGTTACAAAAAGGCCTAAAACCTTAGTTTGGAACGGGCCATTTCAGCATAGGCAGTTATGCGTTAAACCCAACTCTGGAACAGGTCGTTCTAGTTTCAGAACGGGTCGTTCCAAGATACGAAACTAACACATGACGTACAGATCCAGAACGGGCCGTTTCGAATCTAGAATGGGCCGTCCTGGAAACTTTTTGATGTCTATAAATAGCATACTCGGGCACAGTTCCAAGGCGGCTAGAAAATTTTGGATAAGACTCCTTTGAGCACGAAAATTCTCTATCCCTCTCCCTCCTATTGTATTTCTTTCTTGAGATTGGTGAGACATATTGTAGTGTGAAAGGTTGTCGCAAAGCACCTAAAGATCTCCATATTTGAAGATTCAATAGAGCTCGTTTAAGAGGTATTTCAGTCGATTCTCTCTTCCTTTCTCTATTCCCTTATTTCAAATATTGTTATAATAAAAACAATCATGTAGGAGTTTTAGGATTAGCCATGTACTTTAAATTTCAAGCATGTAAATAGCAATTCATAAATGGGATTAAATATTTAAATTATTAATTCTTACTATGCTAACTTCATCATAAGGGTACCGTTTAAGGACGTTGTAGGGGTGCTTCCCTATACATAATCGACCCTGAAACTCAATTTTGGTTATCAAGACCATTATTGGATCTTTAAAACCTTTTCTTTTCCCAATGTTTTGAGTAAAACATTAGTGGCAACTCCATAAACCTATTTTCAAAACCATTAATTAAGGATTAGTCTAGTGTCCGGGCATTCCTTAATTGATGAGATTTTTAAAAGGATGTTTAAACCATTAGTCGCGAGATTAAAAATTTTTGGGTTGCGACAGATGGCAACTCGACTGGGGAAGTTTAAAGAGGGTCAAACTCATATAAATGATGAATTTAATAAAATAAGAATAATAATTTAAATATTTTTCCCCTTTACTTTATTTGTTTTATGTTTTTGACTTTAATATTTGTTTGTCTGTTTAAATTCTACACCTGTTTGAATAAAAATTGTACACAAACCTTTGCATACAACAGTTCTCCCTACACCCGGAGGTATGAAGGTATTAAACATAGGGAGTGGTTGACGTACAACTAGCCCAAGTTTGGCCTTGGAGTCTGCGAGCCTTATCGGAAATCACACTCAAGGTGATAACTAGTTACTCTAACCCGAAATACTGCGACAGACCTTAGAGTTTGTCAGGTGACGGGAACAGAGATACTGAGTCCCTATAATGGGGGCACCTTGGGGACCTTAAGACCAAAGTGA